TCGCCCAGCCGCCGCATGTCACTGCACCCCCGGCGGTACTCTGGCCCAACGCGGGGCCGGTCTCTTAGCAGGTATCCGGGAAACTAAGGGCAGCAACCGATGAAGGTGCGGTTGCTGTGCGACGAACTACCGAAGATCCTCCGACGAGGACGACGCCGCGACGTAGCTTTCCGAACACAATGCCAACCGGTGAAAGCCCTGACGGCGAAAGCTCACTTACCGAAGGTGGCCTGACGACGCAACATGGAAGCAGCGGAACAAGCCGACGCAGCCGTGACCCGACGCCACGCCCTATCTGTAATGCGAGACGGCGAACTAGCGACCTCAACGTCCTTATCGACGGCCACAGTGTGACCGCTCTCGTCGATACTGGAGCCGACTATTCTGTCATCAGTGGGTCGTTCGCCGCGAAGTTAAAGAAAGTTAGGACAGCTTGGAAAGGCCCTGAAATCCGCACAACCGGAGGTCATCTCGTAACGCCTGCAGGAATCTGCACAGCGAGAGTCACCATTAACGGCCGTATTTATCCCACAGACTTCCTAGTCCTACAGCGTTGCTCGAAAGATGTCATCCTTGGCATGGACTTCTTATGCCTTCATGGTGCTGTCATCAACCTAAAAACAAAGTCGATAACGTTATCCACAGAAGAAGCACTACCGCTGCGCACGTTGTCAGGACACCATGCCTTGAATGTGCTGGAAGAACTAGTCACCATTCTGCCTCGCTCAAGCGTCATTATTTCAGTCGGGGCTCCTAAATCACCTGACTTGGAAGGCGTCGTTGAAGGCAGTCAGCATCTGTTGGTCACCCGAAATATTTGCGTCGCAAGAGGAATAGCAGAGCTGCGGGGAGGCAAAGCAACGGTTATGCTCACGAATTTCAGCAATGAGTACAATCATGTGAACAAAGGAACAACGCTCGCATAAATCGAAGAAATTGTCAAAGCCACCAGTGCTTTCACCCTCGCCGATTCTGCGGAACCTGCTCAGAGGAACAAAGCCCCTCCCATAGCTTTCAATGTCAATCCCAGACTTCCGAACGATAAGCAAGAACAGCTTAAGGCCCTGCTCCTGCAATACGAAGATTTCTTTTCGTCGTCATCGGAAATTCGGCAGACCCCAATCACGAAACATCGCATCATAACCGAAGAAAATGCCAGACCACTCCGTCAGAGTCCGTACAGGGTTTCGACGCGAGAACGTGAGGCCATGAAGAGACAAGTTGATCAAATGCTGCGAGATGACATTATCCAGCCGTCCAAGAGTCCATGTGCATCCCCCGTGGTGTTAGTGAAGAAAAAAGATGGAACCCTACGTTTCTGCGTCGATTATCGCCGCCTGGACAAAATCACAAAAAAGAACGTGTATCCTCTCCCACGAATAGACGACGCACTTGATCGGCTCCATAACGCCAAGTACTTTTCGTCGATAGACTTCAAGACTGGCTATTGGCAAATCGAAGTCGACGAAAGAGACCGAGAGAAGACGGCGTTTAAAACACTGGACGGCCTCTTCGAATTTAAGGTGACGCCCTTCGGCCTTTGCTCAGCGCCTGCAACTTTTCAACGCGTTATGGATACAGTACTGGCAGAATTGAAGTGGCAGACTTGCCTTGTGTACTTGGACGACGTCGTTGTGTTTTCCGGGAGTTCCGACGAGCATCTTCGGCGCCTTGAAGCTGTACTTCAAGCCATAAAGACGTCCGGACTCACACTGAAGCCAGAAAAGTGCAGATTTGCGTATGAGGAGCTCTTGTTTCTGGGGCACCTTATCAGCAACTCTGGAGTTCGTACCGATTCACGGAAAACAGCCGCCATTGTCAACTTCCCGCCGCCCACTGACAAGAAGGCCGTGCGCTGATTTCTGGGCATGTGCGCCTATTATAGGCGGTTCGTGAAAAACTTCGCCCGCATCGCCGATCCTCTCACTAACCTTACCAAGGCCGACGTGGAGTTCAAATGGGAAACGCCACAGGAACACGCTTTCCAGGAGCTTAAACATCGCCTCCAGACGCCTCCGTTACTTGCCCGTTTCGACGAATTCGCTGAGACAGAAATACATACTGACGCAAGCAGCGTAGGTCTTGGCGCCGTTCTTGTGCAGAGGGCTGACGGACTTGAAAGGGTTATTAGTTACGCCAGCCGATCGCTATCCAAAGCAGAAGCAAATTATTCCACAACAGAAAAGGAGTGCCTCGCCATCATCTGGGCTACGTCGAAATTTCGCCCATACCTCTACGGCAGGCCCTTCAAAGTTGTGAGCGACCACCACGCCTTGTGTTGGCTAGCCACTTTGAAGGACCCTTCAGGTCGCCTCGCACGATGGAGCCTGAGACTTCAAGAATATGACATTACTGTCATTTACAAGTCCGGCAAAAAACACTCCGACGCCGACTGTCTCTCTCGTGCGCCTGTCGACCAACCGCTACCCGACGACCCGGATGACGACTACTTCTTGGGAACGATAACTACCGACGACTTCGCTGAACGACAGCGGTCTGACCCGGAACTTAAGGCCCTAATAGAATACCTCGAAGGCAGGACCGCCGAAGTCCCGAAGGTATTCAAGCGCGCACTTGCGTCGTTCTTTCTACAAAACGGTCTTCTACAAAAGAAAAACTTTTCACCGCTTCGAGCTAAGTACCTCCTTGTGGTGCCTTCAGCTCTGCGACCAGAACTCCTGCAGGCCCTGCACGACGATCCGACGGCAGGGCACCTCGGTGTTTCTCGCACGCTCGCGAGGCTACAAGAAAGGTACTACTGGCCACGTCGTACTACCGACGTCACTCGTTATGTGAGGACATGCCGGGACTGTCAGCGACGCAAGACACCGCCGACCAGGCCAGCGGGACTTCTGCAGCCAATTGATCCACCTTGCCGACCTTTCCAGCAGATGGGTATGGACCTACTGGGGCCGTTCCCGACGTCGGCTTTCGGAAACAAGTGGATCGTGGTAGCTACCGACTCCGTCACCCGCTGCCCCGCCGCGGTGGTCTAGTGGCTAAGGTACTCGGCTGCTGACCCACAGGTCGCGGGCTCGATTCCCGGCTGCGGCGGCTGCATTTCCGATGGAGGCGGAAATGTTGTAGGCCTGTGTACTCAGATTTGGGTGCACGTTAAAGAACCCCAGGTGGTCAAAATTTCCGGAGCCCTCCACTACGGCGTCTCTCATAATCAAATGGTGGTTTTGGGACGTTAAACCCCACAAATCAATCAATACGTCACCCGCTACGCCGAGACAAAAGCCCTGCCAAAAGGCAGTGCATCCGAGGTAGCTAAGTTCTTCGTCGAAAATATTATCCTACGTCACGGCGCCCCGGAGATCCTTATCAACGACAGAGGAACGGCATTCACTGCCGACTTAACTCAAGCGATCTTGGCATACAGCCAAACAAACCACCCCCGGACGACAGCGTACCACCCACAGACCAACGGCCTCACCGAGCGGCTTAACAAGACGATCGCCGACATGCTGTCAGTGTACGTCGATGTCGAACACAAGACGTGCGACGCCATTCTTCCGTATGTGACCTTCGCAAACAACACGGCGGTGCAGGAGACGACGCAGATATCTCCATACAATTTGGTCTACGGAAGGAGCCCGGCAACAACGCTCGATGCCATGTTACCTAACGTCACCGACGAAGAAAACCTCGATGTGAGCGAGTACCTTCAACGCGCCGAAGAAGCCCGACAACTTGCGCGTCTTCGTATCAAGAATCAACAGACGACCGACAGCCGCCGTTACAATCTCCTACGACGCTTCGTGGAATACCAGCCCGGTGAACGTGTTTGGGTGTGGACGCCGATACGCCGACGTGGACTCAGTGAAAAGCTTCTGCGACGGTACTTCGGACCGTACAGGGTGGTTCGACGTCTCGGCCCACTTAATTACGAGGTTGTCCCCGACGGCATCACGAACACTCAACGACGGTGATCGCGACCTGAAGTCGTCCATGTCGCGCGCCTCAAGCTATTTCATGTGCGTTAACAAATTGGAACAGTGTTTTTTGTAATATTGTTGTAGCGTAATTTATTCATTGTACTTTCTTGCATTATTGTTGTACCTTCATCTTTAGTTAAAGCATCGGGACGATGCCTTTTTCAGAGAGGGGCAATGCCACGTTCCATTTCCCAAGTTTTTGTGATCTTCCCAAAAGACCACACGATTCTCAGTGCAAACCACGCCTGCAGTTTTCGAAAAGGCTCCCGACTGTAGTAGATCATTTTGATAAGATCACGCCCACTGTGCGAACGGTACATATTGTTCTGGAACCTACGCTACCGGCAGCGATAACGCTAGAACATTCGACGGCAAGAGTACAAATGCCGGCGCGCTTCGCCGCTTGTCAGTTGTTGATCGAAGGCCGACGCTGCGTTCGCCGCTATCAGTCCGAGACTGCTATCTGTGCAAGACTGCTGCTGTAATTGGACTTTCCGATTACCGGGCATAGGTTCGCCCAAATAAACAGTTAAATCCCAACACGAAGTCTCCTGTCTTCGGCCACGTCACGAGTCCATGACAATATACACATTTTTAGGCATTTGCTGCTTCATTACATAAAACTGTAATAGTCGTATTACAAATGTATCGAAGTACCTTGAGACAAATTAGAAAAGTATCGTATCCGATATATTCATTCTTGAAGTATCTGGTGTCTGTAACACCAACACGTCTTGCCCGAATATGTTGCATCGTATGGCGATACCATTTCGAAATATCTTTACCCCAATCTGTCATTGCACATCGGCAAATGTTCTGACTGTGCTTGGTTATAATTTGCATATGTGTTTAAATATTTACCGTCAACGTACATTTTGCTGACCCAAAATAGGACATTGTTGTACTTAAAAGTTGCCTGTTTCATTTATTGGCACTTACCGTAAACACAAGCAAAAGAGTTAACATAAGCAATAGCTTTATTGAGGTAGAAGCATGTAAAAATGTTAATATCGTCAGATCAGTGGTAATTATGGTTTGAAAGAAGATATATATCCCAGGTAACACATGTATAGTTTTATTTCTCTTCTTTAATTTGCCGCTGACATCGGGCATTGTAAACCATGAAAGAGGGTTCATACCTTACGACTTCTTCATAATGAATCCTACAGTATACACTAGGTCTATTACGCAAAGAAGAATTTCTCATTCGAAGATCGTAATAGAATTTCCGCCCTAGAAAAAAAAAACTGCGGCGTCAGTCAACTTTCCTGCACTTAACTCCTATTAGGTATGTAAATATATATATGTATATATGTATATATATATATATATATATATATATATATATATATATATATATATATATATATATATATATATATATATATATATATATATATATATATATACACATATATATATATATGTATATATATATATATTTGTTTAGTGTACCGGCCAATTTTTCAACATCTCCAATCGTGCTGAAACAAGTCGTGCTGGGTATAAGTAGTTATTGAGACGTTCTAATTCGCAAAAAAATGAGTTGCCTCGACGACGCTTCAAACTTTGGGAACCTAAGCGAAACTCTCCGACGTCGAATAATGTATATAATAACAGGATAGCGTTAGAGAGCTTGTGTCATGAAAATTCTGCCATCGGCGTCAGCACCATTGGTTGTGAGCGAAAAATGGTCCATGAGCGAAAAATTCAGAAAGAATGAAATAAAGTAAAAAATAAAATATTCGGTTCCATTGAGAAGTTAACCGTGCCATTCGCGTGAACAACACGTGTCCTACCACAATGCCAAGATGTTACTTGCAGCAACGTCGGGAAAAAAACCACCACATAAACGCCATGTAGTGGAAAGAGGCTCCTTAACGCATTTCGTTCAACAGGTGTCACGAAGAAAACGAGCTCATTCAGCAATTTGTAGGCGAAAATAGGAGGCCATCAAGCTACGTCGTAAAAGGCCGAGATAGTGCAGCCATCGCTGCTAAAGACACACAGGAAATTTCAAACAGATTTGAAAATGAACAAGTATGTCCATCTAGCGGATAAAAATATCATGCTTTTCCACACACGTTGATCAAGCAAACAGCAAACCCTAGATGTTGTGCTGCCATATGTGAGGCATTGTGAGACTTTTTGTGGCTTCTAAGATGGCGAGCGCGCGGCGTATACCTTGAATGCTATGTGACTCTTCCTTTAGATGAAAAACCTAGTATGCGCCGTTACGCGTGCGCGCGCGCTGCTACAATCTACTGCGTACGTGCGTGCGTGCGTGTGCTGTATGTTTGTGTGTGTGTGCGTGCGTGCGTGTGTGTATGTGTGTGTGTGCGTGTGTGTGTGTGTGTGTGTTTAAAAAACTATAATGTAAGGCAACGTTTTGGCTGCAAGACAGATCTTTTACTTGCCGAGCCTCTGCCCCACAACACAGGTCAGACTGATGATGATGAGTATGTACATATGATAAGATGACGCGTATGAATAATGCTCACACTTATTTTGCCCACACGCGTGAGCGGCAAGCCAGCACGCGTCTTAGACGGAAATGGAACGTCGAACGAATGGATTCAGACGTGATACGTGGACAATCTCTGAACCACGACAGTGACGATCCAAAGAAAGGTTGGTGGGAGTGACACGATAGTTCACTGGGGACGTTTGTTCGTTGATTAATTAGGGTCCAATGAAGCGTGACTGAAACTGTCACACAACCTTTGAGTACAAACGGGCGTTCAAAGCAACACTTTATCCCCCGGACTGAAGAAGACGTCGCGATGAGAGCTGTCGTAGTCTTGCTTGCGGTCTTGCTGATTGGCTTCTGTATTAAGGGGAGCCCGTTGCCGACATTCTTAGAGCCTTGTGATGAACTGGTTTTATACGGTTGCCGAGGCGTAGGTTGGCACATTTAGGAAAGAGACGTCGATGCATAATGTTGATGAATGACCGTACACAAGGTAGAAGGGTGAGTAGCCAGTAGTTCTTTGAACAGCTGTGTTATGGGTAAATGTCACAAAGGCAAAATCGTATCCCAGTTGTCCTGGTTTGGTGCGTTGTACATCGACAGCATGTCTGTTAGTGTCCGATGAAATCTCTCTGTCAGCCCATTAGTTTGGGAGTGGTAGGCTGAAGTGGTCTTATGTACTGTACCACAGGTTGCGAGCATGGTTTTGATTATGGTGGACAGGAACGTCTTGCCCCGATCACACAGGAGGACGAGAGGTGCACCGTGACGCAATACAATAGCATTTAAAAAGAAGTCTGCGACGTCTGAAGCAGAACTTGTGCGTAGTGCAGCAGTCTCTGCGTACCGTGTCAGGTGGTCGACAACAGTCACAATCCAACGATTACCTGCCGGCGTGATGGGGAGAGGTCCGAGTAGGTCTATGCCAACGACGGTAAAATGAGTCTCGGGACACGGGATAGGTTGCAGAAGGCCAGCAGGAGACGAAGTTGGTCGTTTCCGCCGTTGACACAGATGAAAAGATGCAACGTACTTGGCCACAAAGGTAGAGATGCCCGGTCAGAAGAAACAGTTTCTGATGCGGCTTCGTGTTTTGTGAAATCCCAAGTAGCCTGCACAAGGGTCATCGTGAAAGGCTTCGAGGACTTGATGACGCAGAGAATGCGGAAGTAGTGGAACCCAGCGGTGTACATCAGTGGTGTAAACGCAACGATGAAGCACTATGTTATCGAGCTTAAATTGCCGTAGTTGTAGGGGTAATCTAGCATTAGGAGTAGGTGATATGCATTTAGGTGTTGGATAATGCGATTAGAATATGGATCATCATGCTGGCGAGTGGCGAACTCGGTGTAGCGATTTGAAGCCGACGTGTCAATAACCGCAAGGTGTGATAATGTGAAGGGTGACGCAGTGCCTCGCCCACCAGGCGAGCAATCAGCTGGCGTTATTGATGATGATAGTAGAAGGGGGCAGCGAGAGAGAGCATCTGCATCTTGGTGTCTTTTGCCAGACTTTTAGATGACGTCAAAATCGTACTCTTGCAGGCGGAGCACCCAATGACCGAGGCGACCATACAAATTTCTCATTTGCGCTAGCCAGCACAAGGCATGGTGGTCTGTAATCAATGTGAAGTGGCGTCCGTAAAGATAAGGTGGAAAATTTGTGTGGCCCAAACGACAGCGAGGCACTCCTGCTCAGTTATGGAGTAGTTCTGTTCAGCAGCCGTAAGAGCATGACTAGCATACGCTATAACTCTTTCCCGTGAAGTGGCATTAACTATGCACTCAGCTGTTGAAGGGCGCACTAGGGGCCGGATTTCGCTATGGCGTTCAACTCTTAAAGGCTAAGCTTAGGTGTTCCTCAAATTTCATTTATGCTTTGAGAAATTACTACAAAACATTTTCTTAATACGCTTAAGGCGGCACGCCTACATGTCTATGATAATTTATTCACTTGTGCTTAATTTTCTTTTTCTCGCTTTGGCGAAGAATTGCGAATTGCTGCATGCTTACCATTATTTATAAGAATCGCAAATTTTTTCGGCAATAATATTTTTACAATTTCTGTTTATATGCTCCTATACTAATTGAATAAGATACTTCGGGAGCAAGTAAAGCAAAAATATTACCAAAGTAATGTGACGAAGTAGAAAAAGATGGCCTTTTGAGTCGTATTGCGTCTCCGTGTTCAAAAGTCTTCAAAGTAAAAACATTGCGGTAACTTTATTGCGCAGTATAGTTGCTCAGTTAAAAAAGCTGCCGACACTTTCTGTTCGCCAATAAAGCGAAGCAATGAATGCCTTAGACACATATTCGATTGCTTCACGAAGTAAGGCTAGCCTTTTAGGAGCAATTTTACTTCTAGTAAACTTGCGTTTGCTAAATAACCAAGTTTCTTGATGCGTGGCAATAGTAGATGAACACAACAGGGCTCGTGCGTAGTGATGGCGTTGATGAGAAGCACCTCCAGTCGGCAGCGCATGCTGGTACTAAGGGCTATACGTCGTGTGTTGCCGCTGGAGGCAATTCGTTTTGCCAGGGCGCGTCTATATGTGGACGACTGCTCCAGGTACAATTTTGGCACCATTTTTTCGTGTTGAGAGCGCAGCCTATAAAAACTATCGCCTCCTTCGGGGGCTACAGCCACGCGCTGATTGTTGCCGATACAGCACAGCAACCATAAGCGCTCCCCCCCTCTCTCTCTTGTTCGCTCACGAGATATGCGCCTACGCAGATGACCCCAGCCGGAAAAGCGATGTTCGCTCCAATAAAAAAAGAAACTAGCGGATCCTTCCTTGTATTTATATACAGGATGTTTCAAAAGTGTGTCAAATATTCTTTCGAAAGTACAGAAAGAAGGTATCTGCGTGCTACTTGCGGCGTTGCCTTCCTGTGGCAGAAGGCATCTTCAAATGGGTAGAAACATTTATTACGCCAGTAATATATAAATGAATAAAAATACCTTTTGACCCGTGGTAATAGCTGGTCCAGCAATATAACAGCTGGGAACCCGTCAATGAATGCTTGATGTGCAACAAAAAGCACATCAACCGTTCCACTTGACAACAAACCTCAATGAGACAATGTACCTTGACGGAGTCGCATCAGGGGAATAAATACGCGACATCAATAGCGCGAGAGCGAGTGTTTACATGACGTTGAATAACTGCGAGGCAAACAGTGTCTTCACTGGGCGTTGTAGGTGATATAGTCACTGTTTGGTTGCGTCGGTTTTGGTTACTCCACCTCAAGCAGGCTATTGCTCACTTCTCGTGATTACCAGTTCCGTTTTTTCAGGCTTCAAGTGTATAAACATTGGGAGCAGGATTTTGAATTCGCCAATTTAATTCAGTGGCTATCACCCCGGATTAAACATTATCTCGTTAATCTCTATATAATTCGAAGCCATGTCTAAGCGAACTTCGGTGACTCAATGAGCGTATCTATCTATCCTATCTATCTATCTATCTAGCTATATATCTATCTATCTATCTATCTATCTATCCATCTATCTAGCCGACTACGACTTTTAACTCTCCTAGCTTTCAATATGTTTTGCACTACCAACTTGATGACATAACAAGACTGTATGGAGAACACCTTTGACAGGGCATAACATTAAAAGCTTGACATTTATGTCATGAACATTCGTGATTTAACCATTCTGGTCTTGCAGCTCTTGTGGTGGTTCCGTTCACATGACATGGTGGCAAACTGGTATGGTAAGGCACGATGGCGAACACAAGCAAACAGACTCCACCTGA